TTTGACCTTAAACAATACGATTGAAGATCGACCTGATGCATGAGGTCACTTTGCGTGTGTGTAGCCCTGCAGGTACGAAAACAACCATTGACCCATGGCCTATGTAAAATATTCGCTAAACAGCTGGGAGCCAGAAAGGACGCAATATGACATGAAATCTGACTTTGGAATAGTCAGTCGTATCTTTCATATTATTTGTGACTGTTGCTAGCTTCGTCGTGAAAAACCAGCTACGGATTGTTGATAGTAGCGGAAAGTTTCGAAATTGAAAACATAAGTTTTTTCAAACTTCCTTCCTCCTGAAACAGAAGTTAAAAGATGAATTATTTTTTATATTGTATTTCTTCAGCTTCGATTATAATTGTCATTTAGCAACGTCCAGAAGGCGCATTGAAAACAACTCCGAAAGAAGCACTGACGTGTCAGAGAGTGAACTTTCTTTGCTTCCGTCTATCAGTTCATACGACAAGAGTACGCTGCCGAAAGGTTGGAGTCCCTTCATGTCGTTGCCTCTTCCGATGGCGTACATCACTCGTTACCTCTGGGGTACAGATAAACTGAGGTTGCTGTCAAGATTTTGTAAAAATGCTTAGTGACGGTATTTCATAGGTCGAATGGCTTCGAAGTTCGAACCGCAGATGGTACAAGCTCAGGAATAATTTATTGCGAGGATATCAAGATCATAGAACACTGGGTTCATTACATAACATCCCATATAACGGCGTTGAACAATCAATCGATAAAGATGTCGAACAAAATGCTTCATCCGGATGAATTGGTAAATGAACATTATTCTTACTTTTTTGCCGCCATCCCCACCCAAGGGGTGTCAGTCTTTCTGTCTCTTCACCGGCCCTTCTCCTTACCGCTTCACCACGATTAATACCGAAAGACGTTATTAAGCATTATGATATGTTAAACGTCACACATTTTATAAAATGGATAAAGCATAAGTGTACCTTTTCATATTGGAAGAGCTACCAGCAGAAATTTTGAGTATAGCAATTCTCCGATCCTGCCGATCACCTCTGTGAAGTTAAGGTGTGATCGGCGACATCGAAAGGTACAGGAAGTAAATATGTGCATATACATGTAAGTATCTACTTATGTACAGGTGTTTTCCTAAATAAAAGGAAAATCTGATAGGGTGTTCTCAATAGTTCAAATTCAATGTACCCGTTACCGAAGGGGGACAGCGACCGATCTGTTAAATGGAGTACCAAAATGACGTGCGGCTGTCCGTCATTAAACCCTAAAAAATCGGTTAGGGAAGAGATGGTGATAATTGATTAGCCTGACTTGCTTATACGCTTATAACGGTTTTGATTAAAACAGGAATATTCTGACTGCATATCCGGTCGAAAGGGCACTGGTCCCGCCAAAGGTGTGGCGAAACATTTCGTCATGCCGTCTATCCTCTGAGCTGGTTATGACTGCTGACACGTCATCAATCTGAACGGACTCAAAGTTTGTTTTGATATATAACAACAGATCGCAGCCAGACCGCCTTTCACTCAGAGGTTGTTTCATTTTAAAGGAACACTATACCCACGTTAGAATTAATTTTTCCACACCAGGAAAAAGTTTTTCCTTTCGGTGCAACCCGCAAATTTGCTGGAAGCAATGCTTTGCTACAGTCGAGTAGAAATGGTTTTGATCCTAATGTTTTTCAGATCGTTTATCTCGGATGGGTATGCGAAAGACTGAACGAAGAACAGTTCGACACAACCGATTTTTTGAAGACGTGGGAACCTTACTTCTTGATCCTTAAAGGCACATGCGCGTGGTTCTTCGATACGCCCCCGGTATTTTCAAATCAAAAACTGATCATCTGATTAATTATTCCATGCTAAAAAATAACACTCTGACAAAACAATAAATAATGACGAGAAGGGTATTGGTTTGGCTATAATATGACACGAGATGCATAGATGCACTAGCGGCTCCTAAACACTGCGCGGTCGCAGCCATCTGGATTGAATGGCTTATTATGTCTCTGAGAGGGAGGTGATTCTACACGCACCTAGAAACGATTTATTTATTCGAGTTAATAAATTTCGTTATTTATACCACCCTTATTCAATATGTTGAAATCATAGGAATGACATAAAAATAATAACATAGTTGAGCAACAAGCTATTCATAATCCAGTCCAGTTGTGGTATGTAGCCAAGCAAGATATCTTAAGCTGCTTTGTGTGCTTTAACTTATTCCTGTCGTAGAATCTCAGAGATCAGCGAGATCTTCGCTGGTACAAATCTGCCGTTGGTTTCGATAGAATATGTAGTATGCACGATGTTCAACTACACGAGAGGAAGAATCTCTCTTAGTACGATAGATGCTTGGTCCAACGAGTGAAATGGATGAAATGAAATAGAAATTTCATGCATTATCGCAGATCAAACAACTAGTTTCATTATGTTCAGGAAATTTCATTTTATTTATTTTATTTTTTTTTCATCCACTGTGATTACTACCATATGCTCAGATGAAACCGACATTCATTCTATCGAAGCATTGGTAAAGACAAAGAACAGCTTTCTTCAATGTTTTCGACGGTTGCGCTGCTAGCTATGAAATCAAACCGGTCAACGACTGTTTATTAATGCACTGCAATCAGGTTTCAAAGGTTATTTATTGTTGTTTATTTAATTTCTGCATATTTAGTTAATTTTGTTCCTTATGACTTAATAATTTTTTCTGTGATTGAGCGACAAGTTTCGAAATCATATAAGGTTATTTCCCAAGTGCACAACAACAGAATATTTTCTATGCATTAAATTCCATGCTGTGCATGCCAGTGTTGTCTCTGGTCATCTTGGAGCACCTAGATGTATTCACTGCTGCCATCGCGATCATATTTTTACAGCACAAAATAGCATATGTACTTTGGTAGCTTTTTTAGAGCGGAGTGCCATAC